ATTAATGTCTTTTAGCCACAAAATTAATTCCTATTAATTCTTGACTATTATTAATTAAACAATATGATTTCTCTTTTAATATATCATTCATATAATATATTAATAAATCATAATTAATCCTCTTTCTCCATAAATCATCCTATCAAGTTGCTTTGGTGAAGGCAACCCAAAAGGACCATGCACAATCGGGTCAAGTTACTTAAACTTAGGGCTATAAACGAATTGAACGTTCAAATAACTGTTTATGAACCGTTCGGTGGGAAGTTCATTTATGTTCGTTTATTTAATAAATAAACGAACATGAATGATGGTCTCGTTCGTTCGATTATGTTTGTGAACGTCCATTTATGTTGTTCGTTTATATAAGTTTATTTTATGTTCATATATTCTTAATTGTGTTTGATTACATTACTATATTATCTGTTCATTTTTGTTCACATAGGTTCAATTATTTTTGTTTATCTTTGTTCATTTATGTTCATTTGTTTATGTTCGTTTAGCATGTTCACGAACATAAATGAACAAACATGAACAATGTAATTTGTTAAACAAACGAACATGAACAAGAAAACTCATTCTTTTATTTGTTTGTGGTCGTTTATTTTTTCGACTAACTTAAACGAACAAACATGGACAAGCCCCCGTTCGTGTTCGTTCGGTTCATTTACAACCCTACCTAAACTATAAATAGGACCCCTTATGACCTTAATTTCGTTAATGCACTTCCCATAAGCCTTAAGAATGAAATTTTCGTCTCCTCCTCTCACCTTAATTGTCTTCTAATTCGAGGATTTGGGTGTAAGCCATTAGAGGCATCATACTTTTGGTGCTAGCTTTCCAAGCTCTTCAAAGGAAGGATTAAAGTGATTTGTCTACTACAACAAATCAAAGGTATGTAACCCTAACTCTTGTGTTTTTTATTATACTAGATTTTTAATTAGGGTTCATGTTAGTTTTTGTTGTTCACACTATGTTGCATTCAAAGTGTATGACATAGATCATTTAGGTTGCGTGTGCCCTTAAATATTAAGTGAAATTTGGCAAGAACATATTTATTTTAACCTATAAAACCTATCACTATGACTCATGGAAATCACCAAAACATCCCTATATTCGAATTAATGTCAACTTTGTAGAAGCCGCTCTACGGACATGACGGTTAATTTTTGGAAAAACAATTTTTTTTTGTTATTTTTTGAATAGTTAATGGTTAAAATTTTCAAATTGTCTAAAGAAATGTACTTTATCTAGTATCAATATAAGAGGCCAGAGCCAATATAGTATATACATAAATACATTCATGAATATGAATATTTCCATAAGTAATGATATTATAATGTCACAAATTTTAAACTAATTTTTTTTTTGTTTTAAAAATGAAATAACATTCCAAATTCCATTCATAAGAAAATAAGTAACCATGTGTTCTTAATTTGATAAACCTTAAATATATTAGGGTTTCCAAAGATAGTGAAAACAAAGTGAATATCCATAATATGAATCTCAGCAAATTCAATGCAATCAAGTCGCGTATTTCCCTTTGCTATCAAAACAACCTAAAACAAATTAAACTTAGAAAATAAGCACAATGATTAATAAGTTTCCCAAAATATCACATACATAGGTGAATGTTATGACCCTACAACAATCTTACAACCACTTCTATTGCTACAGTCCCCATGTAGCCTTTCTTGTTATGGTATCCTATAGTCTTTCATATAAATGATATAGTCCCCACATAGTATTTCATACAAATGTTATGATTCCCCCATAGTCTTTCATATAAGTGTTATGAGTACCCTATAGTGTTCCATACAAGTGGTGTGGTCCCCCTAGTCTTTTATACAATAGTCACAAATACAGTCTAGCATAACATGACACCTAGTATCCTACACAATATAGTGAGAAGACTCATTTGAATCAAAGAACTTGTATGAATCAGCTACACACAATACATAAACCAAAAAAGAGGTCAAACCTCAGTCTACAACCCCTGATCCTAGATTTTACCAAAAGTCAAACCGGTCAAAAAGTCAAACTACTTAAAAAGTCAATCAGTTAATAGTCAACACTTAGAATCAACGATCGTGTCGAGACCATTGATCCATCATGTTGCTACCACATTGCTACAAAATAGTAGCAATTTTCCAAGATTCCATGTTGTGAGTTCCAAAACCCGCCTGACCGTGAAACTAGCTTAATAGCATACTCTTTAAGGACTTAATATCTTAAGTCCAAAAGTCCAACCCTTCAAATCTAAATCTCCTAATGGTCCTAATGGATAAAGTTCCCAACATTATCTATCATTAAGGCCGAATAAACCACAAATCTAAACCTTAAATCCAAGAATTCCTTAAAATGTCAAAACCAAGTGTATATCTCAAGGTTAACACATGCATGACCCTCTTTATCCAAAAAGAATGGTCTAGAAGCATCAAAATATCTCTAATGAGTATAAGAGTTCTTCAAACTCCAATAACACAAAATTTAAAGGACAAAAATGACACCACAATCCTAGATCTAACATGCAAAAGCTAAAAAGGTTGAATCTTGGAAACTAACCGAGCTAGATAAGATGCTAAGAATGTAGAAACTTTAGTGGCTTGATTCAAATAATCACCAAAAGCACTTCTTCTTCAAAACTTCACACTAAAGAAGCAAATAAGGTTACAAGGCATCAGGGATGCTAGGGTTACGAGAAGAGGATGTTCTCTGGGATGGTGGCTCATAAATGACGAAACCGTAGGGGAATGTGCACTTAAATATGCATAAATCCCGAGGCTTTTAGGGTTTGACCCATCAAGCCCTTCGCGTTGCGAGTCTCATTAAAGGTATTATATTATGACAAATATGAGATTGATATTAAATTGCTCTAGGTTTCACATATCCAAAGAGGTGATGATAATGAGATTGATATTAAATTGCTCTTGGTTTCATTTATCGAGAGAGGTAATAGATATATAACAACATATTATTGTTTATCGGATATTGGATAATCTGAATATCCGATTTTGAAAATCATTTTCTGCATATGAATCCAAAAAATCTAATATCCATATTTTTGAATATTTTTCAGTTCAAATTGTTGGATCAAATAATCTAATGCCTATATTTTGCTCAACTCGACTTTCTCTCTCCAACCGTTCTCAATTCTCCCAAATTCTCTACACCTTGTATTTATATCTATATATCTAAATACAAAATAATTTTCAATATTTAGATGGAATATATTTTTCAAAAAGCAATTAAAATTTTAAAAATACTATATTACAATTAAGTGTATCTTAAAAATATGATGCTTTAATAAATTTAAAAGCATAGTTAATGTTAAAACAGTAATTACTAAAGGTATATGTCATAAACGTCCATAAATATAGTTTAATAATAACTTATTAGATTTAACCCGACTAATTACCAACCACAATAACAAAAGATATTTTTATACTTTTCATGTTAATTGATAATTAGTGGACATTTTAATATAATTATTAGTTGTTTATAAAAGACAAACTATTTTCATATCAATTTTTAAATTAAAAATTATTAGTTTGTTTGCATTCATTAGACTACATAGCACTAATTTTTCTACTAATATCTTATTTAATGTTCGAACTTGAGGTTTTCATAATGCCCATTACGACCGTATAAATATTGTATTTGATTTTTGTATTAACTATTTTCATGTATCCGAATTGGAACCAGAATTAAGCACGATCTTTCTTATTGTAAGATGATGTAAGTAAATGATAATGGATAGGCCAGTATTAAAAGATGAGGAAGATATAAAATGGAATTTTGCTTTCTAGTTGGCCCCAAAGGATCCAACATTGTGTTATTTAATATTCTGTCTTTTAGCAACTTGTAAGTTGGCTGTCTTCCACTGTTCCAAAAATGGATAATCTTGTTAACTTCCTTACTCATGTAAAAAATACCAATTTTAATAAAATTTATAAGAATCTCTATTAAATATCTAAAAATAATTATTAAAAAATATCAAGCATTATCCAAACTTAATTGATGATTCAATATTGCCACATCTCGCCCAATTTAAAGTCATTTTAAATAACAGTTCCCAAGATTTTCTCCTTCGGTGTTCAATACGCAGTTGATCGACTTCCACTCCAAATCTGGTCAAGGTGTTCGTGTTGAAATCGGACAAGATGAACATTAATGGACCGAGTTGAAAGAGATTTTGCAATTGGTTGTTCTTTAGAGCAAAATGATAGAAGTGCTTGCGAGGGATAATACAACTACATGAAATTATTTAGTTACAATCAAGTTAAATGTTTTGACGTCATGGTGCCTACCAAATTTATTGGATAAAGAGAGGTTGATGTGGACTCTCTTCTTTGTCATATTTGCTATCCTAACATGAAACACACTAATAAGAAAAACTTTTGTTGATAAGGTTAAAATGATTTATCACTATTTATTCTATTGTCTCCTCGTTTTTTCTGTTGCTCGATAATGAGATATGGATTTTTCATCTTCTATTAGACTTTCAGAGTGGATCATTTGTGCATATCATGTGACTTTAAATATAGTGAAGAAAATGTGCTTTTTATCCTACTATCTTGTTAGTTAAAAATATTTGTGGTTAAAAAAATGAAACATGCCGAAAATCACGTAGTATACGGAAGTTCGTTTAATTCCATTTTTCAACTATTGGACGCATACTATACGGAACACTATGAGATTATGTATTACTTTACTCACGTGGGGGAATAGATAAAGTACAATCATTATCAATGATGTTATGTCAACTTGCTTTAGATTTAATAACTTTATCTTACCATATGCATGAATATAATAACATGACTTAATACTCAGAATTTAATCATTTATATTGCAATTGGTATGATATATAATCCACTTAGATTATCCATGAACCACCGGTTGCCACCCTATATAAAGAGACGGACTGATAGATTGAGAACCCACAGACCTCTTCTATATCTCTCATTTTTCTGTCTAGTTGAATTTCAATACCTCAATTCTAGATGGAAGCACGACAATTTTTCTTCTTCTTCTTCTTCTTCTTCTTCTTTTTAGGATCATCAGCATATACAGGCATAAAAAAACAGCACTATCCATGCAAAAACTTAGTTTTATATTTTCATGACGTTATCTATAATGGTCAAAATGCTGCTAATGCAACTTCTGCTATTGTAGGCGCACCCCAATGGGGAAACCTCACAATATTAGCAGACAAGTTTCATTTTGGGAATATAGCAGTTTTTGATGATCCAATCACGTTAGACAACAACTTTCATTCTGCTCCAGTAGGTCGGGCTCAAGGGATGTATTTTTATGACACCAAGAACACATTTACTGCTTGGCTAGGGTTTTCTTTTGTGTTGAATAGTGCACAGCATAAAGGAACCATAAACTTCATTGGGGCTGATCCGATTATGGTGAAGAGTAGGGATATATCGGTGGTTGGTGGGACTGGAGATTTCTTCATGCATCGGGGAATTGCAACTATTATGACTGATTCTTACGAAGGGGAAGTGTACTTCAGGCTACGTGTTGATATCAAGTTTTATGAATGTTGGTGATCATACTCATCATAGAGAGTAAATTATCTGTAGACTGGAATAAAAGTCTGGGTTTATCAAAGTGTGCTGCAAAATAAATTAGTCTTTTTTTTTTCAGGAGTTTAAAATGGTTGTGTAAGATGTTTGAAATACATACATAATTTTGAGTGTATGCATTGGTTATTCAAGGTTAATGGCTAGGGTATATCGATCTTCTTAGCATTTTGGATTTTGGGGTTTAAAATTAAAGATATTCAAGAGTAAACAGTATTAATTACCAAGATAGCCAAAAGCTAGTTAAAAAGAGTTTAGAGCAAACATACAGTTCGACAAAAACTAGTTGGTAGCAGATAGTTGTTGTTTTTATTTGTTACATACGTGTTCGGCAAAAGTAGTTGAAAGTGTTTAAAACATGTAAAATTACCTAAAATGACATCTTGTAAATATAAAATAGAAACATAATAATGAAAAACTGTTTGTCTAAATTGTTCTTTTTCAAAAACTAGGAAATGTTCGATAACAAGGTACTATCACAAAATCTAAAGTCATACTGCAACATAAAAAATCTGATAATAAAATCATGACGTCGAGCATTCCATATTAAAGTGGCAATATCATTACGAACGCGCTTCATATTATTAGATCTTTCGTAAAACTCTTCATTACTCATGTAACTACTACGAACATCATGAAGTTCATCAATTGGAACACAATCACGATGCTCTGCAACAAAATTAAAAAACATATCTTTCGGTCATATAATGTCAAGTGCTAGAACTTTGAATCTTTTGCCTCTAGAAGTTCTTACCTCTAGAACTTCATGAAATGCTCTACTAATCGTAACCCCCCGATCGTTAAAACCGCTCCCCAACATCTCTATTGGACACACCTAAAGCAAGAGTCTACGAAAAAATCCTCAAGTTTTCAACAACCGACATTTTATCACTTGACTCCACTCCAAACTTTAATTCAAGTTCTTTAGCTAGTTGTAGGAACACATTTGGGTGCATTCTAAATGCATTAACACATCGAATATGATCACCTTTCAAAATTTCATTAATCCAAGACTCTCATGTTTGATTTGATGTCATACACGGTTCCTTATACATGTATCTGAAAAAGGATGCAGCAGCTAGAACACTTGACGAGCATGTGTTCGATAATAGTTTTAAACGAAACATTTTCCTTCTCTTCTTCTCTCTTTTGATATCCATTTACACACATGCACCTACTCAACATGATTTTTATAAGTATAAAATATTCAATAATCATATATAATCTCTAAATTAATCATAACACAACACATCATAAATCAGAAATGTAGCATTAACAATTGAAATTGAACAATATCCAAATGAATGACCCACTCAAATTAAAAAAAAAATGAATAATGAATAATCAATGACATTAAAACAAAAAAAAAATAGTTTGACAATGTTATTCTTATAATTTAGCCATGTTGGCCTACCTGCATCGTTTAGGAGAGTTAAAACAATTTTCTTTTTACCGGATCTTCAAACAAACTCATTGCAAAGCACTACAACTCACTCCCATTTGTCATTATCTCATCATCAACCATTCGATTAATCAAACATATAGCTGCATTGATACTAAAATCTTGACTTTGATTGCCAGTAGATGTATCTGACTATAATAGTTCAAGAGTATGTTTTTGAATGACATGTTGTTGAGTCATAAATCTCATAAACATTACAGATCCAACTCACTCTCTATTTTTACGTTTAATCTGTATAGGTTTAAGTTTAAAACATTCTTTGGAACTCTTTTGAAATTGAGTAGATCTACCAGTATTGTTCGGTGACAAGACACCACCGGCCCACTTCATGAAATTTGAAAAGAAAGCGGCATTTTCTACTTATAAGTTATCCAAGTGATCAGAGCATTAAAGGTTTTGTGTAGTGAAAAAAGTGTTATCTCCGGTTTGGACATGACCATCGGTTGCTACATCATCACCCATCGTAGGATCTTCATCATCAATAATAACATGAGGCATAGTATTGAGAGTACTTGGATCCATGGACGGTGCCACACAGTCTGCACCACTTGCAACCGCATCCCCAAATATATGATCCTATGCTTCTTGTAGCTCTAAAGAAGGTTGTTTTTTTCGTATTCCCTTAACATTCGGGTTTCCCTATATAATATATTCTATTTCCTGTTAGTTTTCAAAATAATGACAAATTACCTATTAGTAAAAAAAAAAATTTACCTTCATTTATTTGTCCCACCATTCTTCCGAACAATTTGGTTGTCGTATACTCTCATTCGAACCTAAACCAGTTTCACCAATTTTTAACGACTTCCAAAGGTTGTAGTATCTTCGCATATTATCGTGCTTGTTCTTTAACGATTTGTAGTTATTTAACTTGATATTAGCATCTTTTTAAAAAATTGGCTGAAGGTCTTGCCATTTAATTGGTGAGGTACGACCATTCTTCATGATATATTCTTATTTAATATATCACACAAAATCATGACAGACGTATATGGCCAATCACATTATTTTCTATTGTCATTATTCAAGTTCATAGTACCTGATTTTGAATTCAAATAACTGATTATTAAAAAAATTATAACCACATGACCTGACATAATGAACAATATATATGCTTAATTGAGACACACAACAACTTTTACTTTAAACCCATCAGGAAACCCATAACAAGATTGAACCAACCCAGAGGGAAAAATGGTCCAAAACTGCAATTGCATGCTTCAAGTATGAACCGTATATATACATGCTTAATTGAGACACGCAATAACTTGTACTCTAAATCCATCAGCATCAAGAAACGCACAATAGGACTAAACAAACCCAAGGGGTAAAATGGTTCAAAACAGAGATTTTCATGCTTCAAGAATGAACTATATATATATATATATATATATATATATATATATATATATATATATATATATATACACTTAATTGAGACACACAACTATTTTTACTCTATACCCATCAGCACCATGAAACCCACAATAGGATTAAACAAACCCAAGGAGCAAAATGGTCTAAATCTAAAATTTCTTCTTTTGGGAACTTACCTGATGTTCTTTCAATGGAAAATACAATTATGTGGAACCTAGCTACCTGATGTTCTTTCAATGGAAAATACAGTTATATGTTTGTTGGAACAATAATAGGTAAATGGTCCATGGTCAAACATTAAATTTTGACCATAATTTCTTCTCTTAGGGAGCTATCTAGTTTTTAAGTACTATATAATCTTATTTTGCTACAGACGTATTAAAATTCACCTACAATTTGCTAATTAAACCAGTACAGGAACCCTCAATGTAATTAATGTCATGGGCAAGCGAAAAGAAATTTTGTGATCCTATCAACTTCCACATGTGTTTTTATGACAAAACCAACACTGTGAAATTAAAATCTCATGTGTTTTTTTATACTCTTTTTTGGTAAACATGATTAAAAATATCATTCACAACTTATTTTACTACGAACCAAATTTAAGTATCATACATATCTTCATTAGATTGATAAAAAAAAACAATAAAGTAGTATTATAATGAAGATGAAAATATTTAAATTCTATGACAAAGCATCCATATGAATTGAAAAGCTACCTGTTTTATGAAGATTCTTCACTATGCGGGAGAGGATCTTAACTACGTAGGAGAGGGATAGGTCCGACAGTTGTGAGGTTCTTCTTGAGAGGCGATGGAGAGGGAATCATGTTAGGGGTTCAGGGTGAAATAAGAACGGCATGATTAGATACGCGAATTTCTTATGGGCAATTTAGTAATTTTGTGATACTAGGCTGGAACCATTGATTGAACGCTTCTTGTAGTAACGTTTGAAATTTGGAGCATTTGATTTTTCTAAAAGCTAAACGCTCATACAGCCCAATGCTGCCAAAAAAAGCTTCATCTTTTTTTGAGCGTTTTGTTAAAAGGTATATGCTACAAGCTCTTAAAAGTTGTGTGTCGAACACACCCATACGTTGTGTTCAACAAAACTAGCTGGTAGTGAGTGGCGAATAGCGGGTAGAGGGTAGCGATTAGTGGGTAGCTGGTAGCGGATATCTGTTGCTTTTATTTGTTACATAAGTGTTTAGAAAAAGTAGCTGGAAGCGTTTAAAACATGTAAAATTACCTAAAAGGACATCTTGTAAATATAAAATAGAAAAATAATAATGAAAAACTGTTTGTCTAAATTGTTCTTTTTCAAAAACTAAGAAATGTTCGATAACTTGGTACTATCACAAAATCTAGAGTCATACATACTGCAACATAAAAATCTAGTAATAAAATCATCAACGTCGAACATTCTATATTAAAATGGCAATATCATTACGATCGCGCTTCATATTATTAGATCATTCATAAAAGTCTTCATTACTCATGTAACTACTACGGACATCATGAAGCTCATCAATTGTTACACAATCAAGATGCTCTGCAACAGAATTAAAAAACATATCTTCCTCAGAGCTACAACGAATGTAGTTATGAAAAGCGAATGTGGCCATAATAAGGTCAATCTGAGTTTGCACACTATGTTTAGGCATTCCATTGAGTATCTTCCATCTACTCTTTAAGATTCTGAATTATCTTTCAATACAACTTCGCAATAATGAATGGGAACGATTGAAAGCTTCCTGCATATTAGCTGGAGACTCATTTTCAAATTGATATTTATGGTATCTTGTCTTGAAATACGAAACCATATATCAATTTCTATCTGAATAGATTTAATCAACAAAATAATCTTTACCTGTTAAAATTGTGAAAAATAAGAAACTATAACATTAAATGTATATAATAATAGGAAAAAAAACAAACATAATTATGATAATTTACCTTCAGGTGGTTTGGGAAAAAATATTGATGGCGTGTTAATAGCATGAAGGAACACACGTGTGTCATGTGCAGATCACTCACATCCAACAGATGCAAAGGTAAAACACATATCAAAATAACAAGTTGCCATTACATTAAATTTAGGGAACCATTTTTTACCGATATACCAAAAT